TTTTTTTTTTTAATACTTTAAAAAAGATTTTTTTAATGTTTATTTAATTTTGATATAGAGAGAGACAGAGTATGAGTGGGGGAGGGACAGAGAGAGAGGGAGACACAGAATCCTAAGCAGGCTGCAGGCTCTCAGCTGCCAGCACAGAGCCCGACACAGGGCTCGAACTCACGAACCGCCAGATCATGACCTGAGCCAAAGTCGGACGCTTCACCGACTGAGCCACCCAGGTGCATCCCCCCCCTTTTTAAATACTTCTCATCAAAGACGTGTATTCAGTAACAAAATAGTACACTTAGAATGAAGAGTGGTTGACGACCCTTTCCTCTCTCTTCCCGGTCCTTCTCCCCAGAGGCCAGTTCCCGTAACTATTTTTATTTTGGGTCTTGTGTTTCTTGCTTCTTTAACTCTAGACGATGGATGAACGTACTCCTGTCTTCACTGTCAGACTGACTTAGATCCTTTTCTGTGGGAAGAGCGAAGATTCCGCTCATTTACGTTCAGTGCCTCCTCTGTCGCCTGGCTGTGGAGTGTGGTTTTTGTTACTGTATTGCTTGGAGAAAGCTGTCACTTGCTCACTTTGAGAGCATCACCTGACACTCCTTGTGCAGCGAGGACATCAGGGCCCTTTCTCCTTGCGCCACTTTCCCCCAGTTTCTTCCCCTTTCTAACGTGAGCTGTTGCACTTTTATGATCCCAGGGTTGCAGACTGCTTAGGTTGGATGTTTAGATTTAAAATTGTCATCCCTTTTCCTTTTCTAATACATGTATTTGAGATGATAAACTTTCTTACAGGTTTGGCAAATTATGACATATCATTTTTTGTCATTCACTTTAAAATATTTTCATCATGAGGTCTTCTCTGCCCCATAGGTTATTTAGCACTACATTTATTATTTTCCAGACATATGTGGGTTTTGTAATTGTATATTCCTGGCTTAATTACACCGTGGTCAAAAAATATTCTGTATTTTAACTCTTTGAAAATTGATGAGATTTGCTTTATGGTTAAGTGCATGAGTAAATTTTGTAAATGTTTCTTGTGTGCCTGGAAAATGTTTTCTCTGGTTGTTAAAAATGGGATTCTGTATTAGTTTGGTCAAGTTTATTGTATTATTCAAATATTGCATACTTTGTTTAAAAAAATTTATGGAAGTGTAGCTGACGTATAGTATTATATTAGTTTCAGGTGCACAGCTTAGTAATTCAACAATCCTGTACATTACACAGTGCCCACTGTGATGAGGGTTGTTATACTTTTATTTTTTAATTTACACGTTATATCGGTTATTAAATGTGGTATATTATGGGGCGCCTGGGTAGCTCAGTCGGTTAAGCATCCAAGTCTTGATTTCAGCTCAGGTCATGAGTTTGAGCCCCACATGGGGCTCTGTGCTGACAGTGTGGAGCCTACTTGAGATTTTCTCTCCGTGTCTCTCTCTCTGCCCTTCTCCTGCTTGTGCTCTTTGTCTCTCTCAAAATAAATGAGTAAACTGAAAAAAAAAATATATGGCATATTAAAGTTTCCCACTACAATTGTATATTTATTTCTCCTTGTAGTTCTTTATATGTTTTCTTCATATATTTTGAGCCTGTCTTAATGGATGTATGAACATTTAGACTTATTAAATCTTCTGGTAAATGAACCCCATTTGTTCCAGACTTTCAGAATAGTAAAACTTTTGCATTATAGTGTGACATTAATATGACTGTTGTAGCTTTGTTTTGATTAATATTTACATTGTGTAACTTCCCTTTTGTTGTCAGTCTTTCTGGGGTCTTATATTTAGATGTGTCCCTTGTAAGCAGCGTGTAGTTGCTTTTCCATATTATGATTTGTTGTTGAACCAGCATGAAAAACTTCCTTTAATTTAGTTGCTTGCATTCAATATTACTTGTATTTTGTGTTTATGATTACAATGCTACTATTTGCATTCTGGTTTTTTTTTTTTTTTCCTGTTCTCTTTCTTTTGGTCTTGAGTTTGGATTTTTTATTATTCTGTTCCCAGCTGCCACCCTGTTATTAGATGTTATACATTCTTACATACCGTTCTTTTAGTGACTACCCCAGAGAGGATACCATACATCCTTGATTTATCAAAGTGTGACATAAATTGGTATTTCAAACAATGCAGGGATCTCAGAATATTCATTCTCCAGTTTATACCCCTCAGGTTATATTGTTGAAGAGTGTGTGTGTGTATTTTAACTGTATAAGACGTTTTTTATGTGACCATTATTCATTTAGGTTTGCCCATGTATTTCCCTTTTTATGTTACTCTTTATTCTGTCTCCATCTGCAAACTCCCACCTGGGATTATTTTCATTTTAAATGTACTTTCTTTGGTCAGACCTTCTGGTGATTACTCTTGTCTTTTTGTAAGAATGTGTTCATTCTACCGGTACTTGGAGGTGTAACTGTATGGGGTGCCCAGTTCTAGGTCGGTGGATAGATTGTTTTAGGACTTGGAAGGGGTTACTCAAGAACGTGTGGCCTCCGCTGTTTGTGGTGAGAAGCCAGCGGCAGTCTTAGTGTCAAAGTCTTAGTGACAAAGTCTTAGTGACAGAGGAATTTCTTCTCTTGGTCAGAAGCGTTTTCAGATATGCCTAAGTTTGGTTTCTTTTTTGACTGTGTCTATCCACCTGCCAAATTCTGCATTCTTTTACCCTTGAATGTATTGAGCAGTTATTTTAAAGTCTCTGCCTGAGAATCACATTATTCATTATTCGAAACCCCTACACAGGGGCACCTGGGTGGCTCAGTCGGTTGAGCGTCCAACTTCGGCTCAGGTCACGATCTCACGGTTTGTGGGT